CTCTTTAACTGGTTTGGATGGCATGCTTTCTCACCCTATGTTGTGCTTATGTTGCATATCTAAACTTGTCGGTCGCATGTGCGGGGTAGGCTACCTTGGGTAATTGCTCTCAATAATTCCCTAACAATGCTCACAAAAAGAAGATACATGTTGCAGGAAAGAATCCCACCCAAATACTTCCTATAAGGGGACAAAATTTCCATTCTTTGCAAAATTATTTTATTCTTGTGATGTTTACTTCATATTCCACTTACTCTCTTATATTTCACAACAAACTAGTATTAAAAGATTCTGGTTTCCATAACATAAACGTTGCACAAACAAATTTAAAGTCATTTCCTTCAACAATGGTGGATACTAATTTAACACTCCTAATAGTTAAAGAACCACAAATAATTTTACACAAACAAATCAATTTCATTACAACTTGTGAAATTCAATCAAAGTCAACATTTTGTATCCCAATATTGCATATTGTATATTTTCTCTATTCCACAGAATCTTTATATTCCTCTTTTATGTGATTTTGAACTTTAAAGAATGCAAATCGAGCTTAAATTAGAACTCCAAAGAACTGCATCGAGGAAAAATTTAGAAAATAAAAAGAACAAATAGCCAACAAAACGTTTCGTCAAAAATGAAACAAATTAATCCCAACACAAAAATTACCAGGGAATTTGTAGACCTTGACGGAGTGATCGACGGACCCAGAAGCAAGGCAAGTGGAATTAGGGCTAATTGCCAAGGCAGTGACACCTTCTTGGTGATTCCGAAGAATTTTCGGAGTAAAAGGGGGCAGGGGCTGAGGCGTGCATATTCGGTATTCTCTGTTGATGCTGCATTGTTGGTGTATTCTTTGGATGAAGGGGGCAGGGCTCAGGCCTGTACCTTTCCTATTTTGGGCCAAATAATTAGCCATCTTGTTTTTTTTTTTGTATTGGGCTGTTGAAAAAAATTGGGTGCGACCCAAAGTCCAGTGCAGCTGCCTGCACTCGGCCTTAATTGGGTCCGCCCCTGGCCACCACCTTATCATATGTGACAAAATGGGATAATCCTTTATTTATTTAAGATAGCTCTGGTCTTTAGTACTATTCCGTGGGAAGAGAAAGATTAGAGAGATGCAGCAGTACGTCAACCATTTCAGCCATCGCCATCCCTTAGAGCTTTCAGAAGTGCATGAAGAAAAAGAAGAAAAAGGAGCCATTTGCTCAGGTTGCGAGCTAGAAATTACAGGAGGTTCAGCCTACACTTGCACAAAGCCAAAATGCACATTTATCCTGCACAATGCATGCTTCGAGCTTCCCCGTCAGGTCCGCCACAAATCGCACCCCAAGCACCCGCTTTCTCTCCACTTCTCTCCGCCATATAGCGACCGGGAATTCAGATGTGATGCGTGTGGAAATTCGGGCCACGGATTTACCTTCCATTGCAAAACATGCAAATTTGATCTTCATGTTGCATGTGCTTCCTTGCCTGAAATCGAGCACCGGGAAGATCATGAACATCCTCTTTCGCTATTATATTCTAGTACTCCACTGGTAGAAGGTGGAAATTGTGTGTGTTTCGTGTGTAAGTGTTCAATAGCAAATGGAAGTTGGGTTTATTGTTGTTCAGCCTGCAACTGTGGTACCCATTTGGACTGTATCTAAGCGATTCAAGAATGGAGTATGTAAGGGTTTCGATATCGATATTTTGTTTTGAACATTACTAGACTACTCTTAATTTTCAAAGTTATGGAGTACAGTAAGATCCATAATGTTAAGGGATGTATATCCCACGTCAATAAATGATGTTGACATAGACCAATTAATAAAGATNAGTATGACCGGAAACATCCGGTAACAGTGGCGGCGAGGAGTTACTGTCGGCACCGACTATTAAGGTATATAATCCCACATCGAATAAAGGTGTTGACATAGACCAATTAATAAAGATTTTGGACTACTCCGTTTAATAAGGTTGACCTTTTAAGATGAAACCCCAATTCTTAATATGGTATCAGAGCTCATTATGTTCCAACGAGCGATTCGATCCTGTTAAAACTCTAAAATGGACACGTGGATTTCAAGATTGCTATACTCAAATGAGCTACCATCTTGCAGGGGCGTGTTAAGGAATGTATATCCCACGTCGATAAATGATGTGACACAGATCAATTAATAAAGATTTTGACCTAATCCTCTTAATAAGGTTGACATATTAAGACGGAACCCCAATTCTTAACATGGTATCAAAGCCCATTACACTCCAACGAGCTATTCGATC